AGATATTTGTATTTTGTTCAATCTCAGATAGGCTGAGACTCAAAGTTGTGTGCCTTTGTAGATACACTGAGACGAAGTTTAAGTTCCAATCGCTGAGGTATTGTTCTTGAAATTGCACACTTTGCACAATTTTCAACTTATTTGAAGTGTTTTTGCAATAGGATTATTTGTGATGTATACATTTTCTGAATGTGCTTGTACTATTTTGTACCAAATTAAAACAAAGAAAACAATCTGAAATTGTCGTTATTTTTAATTATGCCATATTTTTACCGGTCCGGCCCACTTGGGAATAGATTATCCTCCATGTGGCCCCTGAGCTAAAATGAGTTTGACACCCCTGGTATAAAAGGTCTGTTCCCTTCCTGATCCATCGAGAGTACGTCTGGTCTCTTTTACAATCAGACATACTGTGAATCAAACTTTATACCAAGAAGAAATCTTGCCTCTTGAATCTTGGATCTTGAATCTCCCTCGTCAGTGAAATTATCATGGACCCAGTATGGAAGACGATTATGTCAGTCGTAGATTTCATTAGTCATTTTGTACAAATGACTTATGAGGAGCCACACGGGATGACTGTGATTGTTCATTTTAACGGGCAGAGGCTCGCTGTGATATCCATCACGAGCTGCATCGATGAACTCCTGAATATATTTTATCAGTGACAACGGCAGCGGATTTGATAACAAGAAATTGCTCTTGTAGGCTTATCTCATTTCTAAATCCACTCAATGACGCTTTGAAAAGGAAATTAATCAAAATACAAAATAAAGTTGATTGGGTCGATTGGGACGAAGCACTCAAGTCATTTGGGGACCTCTGCATCCTATGGTTTGAAAATGAATCGCCGAGCCTTTACGTTGCGTAGGCTACCACATAGGTCTACTGGAATAAAATCGTCTTGAAAGGCTGTTTATTTTTTTGTTGTGTTCCTACCTTGGCTTTTCAGTTCCAAACTGCATGATATCTAGCCTTTTAAATAAATGTGATTGGTTGAAAATATTAGAAATTGAAGTATCGTTTTTTTATGTAAGAGTTGGTAGGCCTCCAGTGGGTCCTAGTGTCAAACTCATTTTGGGTCGGGGCCGGATTTGTTCAAATGAGACCTCCAGTGGGCCGGACATTTTTACCGACATCACTACAACTCAACACATTTATAGGCTGCTGTATGATTTTTTTTTTTTTTTTTAAATCAAAATAAGTTAGCCTACTTGTACCGAAAACTGAATGTTAACAATTACAAAACAGGTCAGGAATGATCATGATGCTATCCTCACATCGTATGAAAAAAGATCTATTTTAAATTGTTTTTTTGGGGGGGCATTCACTCAAGATGAATTCATAAGACTGCAGGTTACAGTTTTAAAACACAAAATCTCTGTCATTGCAAACTGCATGTTGGCACATGGAAATAATGATGCACACAGAGCCTACCAAATTCATACTTATGGTGATAGTCAATAAAGTCGAACATATGCAGGACAGAGTGTGGTCACAGAGACAAACAGCTTCATGGTGCTGTGTGGGGGCGGTGACAGCTTTATATCCTCAACATGAAACTCAGCGGAGCCGAGAAAACAAACACAGCTCCTTAGAGGAAAAAGATCTATTTTAAATTGTTTTGGGGTTTTTTGGCATTAACTAAAGATGAATTTTATAAGGCTGCAGGTTACAGATTCAAAACACAAAATCTCTGTCATTGCAAACTGCATGTTGGCGCATGGAAATAATGAAATGTACAACAGTCGTCTTCAATTTTTTTTAGCGTTGGGCTCTTAAATAATGCCAGACACTACCATTGACTAATAAACTGACCGCAGGTTCGACTACCAGTCCTGAAGTTTTACTTTGTGCAAGTTTTCCCCCATTCTTCTCTCTCCTCACATGTCTTGACATTGCAGCTTTTGTTTGCAAATAAAGGCTTTAAATGAGATGTGTACAGAGCAGAGTAGACACCTCTGGTTAAACTATCTGAAAATGTAGGTATGAGGTAGCCTACACTTCTTACATTTTTAGGGATTAATGTTTGAATGTAAGTGAGGAACACAGTCATATCCACCAAGTCTTGACATCCAAGCACATTGTAAGGTAGATTTAGATTACAATATATTCTTAGATGTAAGACGTGAACAATGTATAACCACAATAGTGCTTAATTATGTTTTCAATGTGTTTACATTCTTCTAGGTTTCACAGCTAACGGGGACCCTAACAGATAAACAAACTACATTGCTGTATCTGAGAATGTGTATCATGGCTGTCTTATAATAATGATAATAATAATAATGCAGTGAACTCGAACTATAGAAACCCAAACGCACAAAAATCCAATTCACACTAATTGTCTAACGATATTCTATCAGTTGTAAAATAATCATTACATAATAACATTTAAAAAAAGGTATTTATAAAAACAAATCCTGGAAATCCCCAGATGCCTTTAGTTCTTCATGAGTCATACATCAACCTGTGACTATCAGGGCATTTAATGAATAGGACATGAAAATGGGCGGGACTGTAGGCCATTAAAGAGTGTTACTCATATTGTGAAAGAGGACATTTCTGGGATGGGTAGCGAACAGTGTTTGTGTATGTAGCCTAAACACGCAAAGAGCCTGACCTGAAATGCTCTCATAAGAAAAGAAAAACTATGACAACTAAGAAATTATTAAAAATAAAAATAGTAGTTAAAAATCAAATCAAACATATTTACATCAGTTAAATAAATAAAAAATACAATAATGGAAAATTACACAGTAACTACACTGGAAAGAGTTATTGTTATTAAAAAAAAAACACACACACAGTGTGTAGCATTATTGAAATGAGTCATGAGGTGGTGACCAATCACCTTTGCCTCTCAGTTAGCCTACATGTAATCACCAACAATTAAATAGGCTACATGAAATTGGTAGTAATAATAATAATAACAATAATACGCCAAATGTGCTACTAACGTTACTGAACAAAATGAGCAGGCTATCTTTTAGTTGAATAGGCCTACATATTAATGAATTAATAAGACGGATTGTCTGACACAAGTTAACGATTATTGAAGCCTTTTCCTCTGTCTACCCTTCCCCCCTTTTCTTTAGGTTTAGCACAGAGAAATTTACCTGGATTTTTAGCATTTCAACATCTTTGAAGCATAAAAAACCATAGATGTTTTTTTGCTCTTTAAAATTGTCACTAGTTAGGCCTATAGCCTACTGAAAGCAGGCCGTGCACTAAACACACAATTAAAAATAGGCCTAAACAAACTTTCCCACTGCTCAATTTAAAGTTCTAGCCTAGTTTTAATCTACAGACCAACAGCTTTATTTCCACCTATCTCATTCACATTCGCTGCATAGCCTTTCATCCGGCCATCGCCCGTCTATGGTTTGATTTGGGAAACCTGAGGATTCCCATTTCCGCTGTTGAAATAGCCGGATGTGGCCTGCATTATTTGTCATGTGATTGAAATAAATGAAGGCTTACTGTTTGTTAGAATGAATTACATTAAATAATTAAAGTTTAAATGAAATGTGAAGAAATATCATAATTTTATTATAATACCATAGTGTGAACGCTTGTGCTGCTTTAATTGGGCTTAATAAGAAAATATGTTTGTAGAAATGGCGTAGTAGGGTTGATACCACCCAGTGGGAGGGGCTACAGGTTTAAAAAGGGCTGAATTGGGTGGTCTAGATCAGTCCGCGTTTTGTTACTGCTGTGAAGCTGCGCATGCATTGTGATATTTTTCATTTGCCTTTTTAGTCAAAGAAATACTCCTATTCCTCTTTTAAAGCTTCTTACAAATGTCTGGATGTATATTTTTCCTGTTTTCACTTGTTTCACATATCTATAATCTTTTTCACTGCATCTTCACTGACAATAAAAACACAGGGAGTTTAAAAAAGAACCCCAAGGAAGTGGGGTGTCAGAAGTGACCAGGCCAGTCAAATGAAACAACTTGGCCTCATAGCCAGCGCTCAGGACTGTATTCCCAGCAGGGAGACCAACTTGAGATGACAACTGCCAATGCAGACCTTGCTTGGGAGATAGTGCCTTTGAATTCAGAGGAGGACACAGCGAGTAGTATAGGCTACGTTTCCTGAAGAGCCAGCAGCTCTTAAAAGCCCCAGCATTAGCAGGTAATTCAGAGGGAGAAGATGCAACACTGGAATTCTTGGCAGGACAGCAAATGAGACTGTTAGCAGAGATTTGAGGGTGACTGAGCACTTTCATTAACTTGTCCCAACAAGGACAGCAGGATTCAGCATCAGGCTCCTTCTTTCTATTCCCAGGACTTAAGCAGCAGACCTGACCACCTGAGGCCAGAGCTGAGGCACTATAAGAACTAAAAATCCACAATATCAGATGGTTGGGGATTTGAGAACTATTTGATATATTTTGAGGGCATGGGAAATGTCTGTGATTAAGAGTATATGTCTCATTTCCACTGCTGACTGTGGTACCATGGATACATCCAATGGAAGTGAGGACCTTGGTGAATGAGCATGAGCCACTGAAGGGACTTCTAGCTGTCAAGCTGGCTCTATAGTAGCCTACTCAGTGAACTGAGAGGAGAACCAGCTCAACTCTCTGCAGTGCACAACACCTACTGGCTCTCCAGTGAGCCCAGCCCAGGCCTGCAAAGGAAGAGAGGAGTCTGGAGCATTCAGATGACACCAGCACAGCCCCAAACCAGCAAGCATTGGTCAGGACCTTGTTTGTTTTTTATGGCTTGCAGCCACGTAACCTGTGTGTCCCATAAACAAAGATACATTCACAGACCGTTTCTGTGCCTTCACTTGGGTTCAGCCTAATATGTTGTAGGCATACTAATAGTGTTGCCATATTGTGCTGTTTGTATTGTTTTATTGCCCTTCAATGTTATTGCTTGCTACCTCTGCTGGACATTTTGGAGTAGTGTTGTACATTTTGGTACAGTAATTGATTTGATGAAAAAGAATCAACCAAAAGTTTTCCTTTAATTTTCAAAATGACCCAATTTTGCTCAAGTAACTTTTTATTGAGTAATTATGTTTCAGATACATTTCACTTCTTCAAGACTCATTTTGTAAACTGACAGCTGTGCTTGTTTATTAAAACAAGTATAAATCAAATATACAGGAAGGGGGGGTCCCTTCCTTCCGTTGTCCCTTCCATCCTTGAATCAGTGTGTTTAAACCTTAAAAGGGTCGAAAGGGACAACAAATTATTCTACCTGAAATATTATTACAAAAATATGAAACCCACACATGTGAAAAGGGCGTGTATACATATTTGAGCTTCAACAATTAACGGCTGAATCAAAAATCGCCAGCAGTCCCAGGCAGAGGATCATTGGAAAAAGTCCTTTAAATCGCACAGACTCTGATCCAGAGAGAGGGATACCTGTATAAGGACAACGGTGACAGAAAGGATCCGATTTTTAGACATTTGAACCTGATGGGATGGTATACAAAATATTAAATATGTAAGTGTGGTCTGTACCTTTAACTTCTACCATCTTGGTGGCCTCAGCAGAACGTCCAACAGCTGCATTTTCAGCAACACAAGTGAAGATTTGAAAAGTACCCGGTATGGAAGGGGTCCATTTGAGCTCATTTTCATGGACTGATAAGTACTGTCCGATGGGGAAACCATCCTTGAACTGCCATTTTACAGTGCAGTCCACATTTATGGTGCAACTTGTCAAGCAGATGAATGTACTCTGTCTGCCAGGAAACACAGCGTCGGGCCCGCTGATGCTGACGTTCCATGGATCAACTACAAGAGATTAGAGAGTGAACTGGTTTGAGAAAACGAATCTTAAACTTTGTTTAAAACTCCTAACCTCATGTGTACTCACAGCTGAGTTGATAGCCGCTGCTGAAAACTCTTGCCTTTTGTCCAGAAATCTCACAGTGGTAGAATCCAGAATCGGAGGGCAGCAAGGAGTCAAAGTGAAGAGTGAAGTTGTTTTGCAGCTGCTGCACATAATCCCGCAGGGTCACTTTCTGCCCATCTTTGTACCAGAAAACCACCTGGTCCATCCAATGTGAGGGGCCTGAAGGGTCCCTTGATGTTGCGTCATGGCAGACGAGATCCAAAGACTTGTTGAGAGACGGGACATTTTTGGGTGGACTGATTTGCACCGACAGTGGATCTGTAACAAAGGGCACCAAACAGAGAAGAATCCATTCATTCAAATCATAATGCAAATGTTAAACTCAAATATGTCAAAACCAATTGAGTTGGATATAGCTGAATTGATGTATTCACTTTTATTTAGGTAAAAATACAGTAATTAAAGACTACATTTACTCAAAGCATCAAATTGGAAGCTCTGCAGAGGAAAATAATGTGGCTTTCATTGTATTTTGCAGACATTGTTTGAGTTTTAATAGTGATCCAATAATTCATTTTGGCTTGTCATGGTTCAAACCCCCACTTAAAGGGCCCCATTAAAACTCTGAAGTGTCGTAGGAAACCAGTAAAGCATTACACTTACTCCTTATTTCTACAATAGTGGTTGTTCTGGTGGAGACTCCTGTTTCTGGATTAAACACAGCACACTGTATGTCCACGCTATTCTCCAGTCCATCTGGGGTCCAGGTTAATGTGTTTCCCATGATGTCCCGGCCGTTTAAAGACCAGGTAAAGGCGCAGTTTGAGAGGCATGAAGATGAACAGGTGAAAGTGGTACTGAAACCAGCTGTCACTACACCTGCCCAGGTAATCTGCACCCAGGCCTGAGAACATGGTGCACCTGAAGGAGACGAGGAGTGGATATGCGGCTCTGTGAGACATGGTTTGGTTTATGACTTGGTCTCTCAAGTCAATGGCAGACAAATCCCTTTTTTTTACATAATTTTTTCCAGCAGACCCCGGGATGCATGAAGAATCGTACAGTACTTCCAGTTAACAAAGATCCTATATGCATCATATAAACACATTATTTTGGCCATATAAAGGTGATTTATTCTTTCTATATGTTAACCCCATGATAAGCAGATATATTCATGAATCCCACTCCTTTACTAACACAAGTTAAAGGCTAATCATAGGCCTTGCAGAATCTATATCGCAAAATCCCCATAACAAGCATTCTTAAGATAGCATTGAAAAATATAACTAGTGCTTTTAACCAGTCTCTTCAGTAACATTGTGTAACAGTAAATCACTAAATGATCGTTCTTACCCATCAGAGCCGCCAACAAAACACAGTAAAGATTCTTCCAGTCAAATGTCATGTTTCTCTTTGTTCCTCCTCTCTCGGTTTGAACTGTGTCTTCTGTTTTATACTTACTATGAGTAGAAGAAGCATAAAGTTAGAGTCCAAACCTTTTAAACATTATTCATTTCAGTCACTCCCCTATTTCACAGCATCATCTTGTTTCACAACGGAGTTTACTTGATGATGCAATCCACAAGAAGAGGACATTTACCCAAGCTGTGACTGGAAATCTTTGATTGCAACACAGATGTTAGGCTACTGTTTTTGTTTTTGTTTTTCTCTTTGTTGGAGTTATCGTTGATGGCATTGTGTGGGTTTGTGTGATTTTTTTTCTCCAAAGATTGTTGGCAATGAACTAGTTTGAATTAAAACAAAAGCAGGGACATGTCTGGTCGGGAGAAATAGGCTATCACAATTGTTGTGTCTGATTAACACTAGATGGCGCTGTGTCACAGGAGTTTGACATTAGGCTACTTCTAGTTTCTTCAAAGCATAATGTAGCCTATCAAACTGCAGCGCTACAGGTCATGCTCTTGATTTATATCTGTAGCTTATCAGTGGGTCAGAACATAACATTAAAAGCAGCCATGTACTATAGGTCATGCTCCTTAAATTACATCTCTTCAATTCTTATGTTTTTTGACAATTTCCTAGTCAAAAATCACAAAAAAAAACACTCCTCCTCTTCCCAGCAGCTGCAAAAAAAACAAGTCCGGTTGAAAGAGGCGAGTGTAGTCTTGAGAAAGGCTTTTGCCACTTTAAGTGCTCAAAGGAAAGAAATTACTGAAATGTAGCCTATTGCTTGTGTTCATTCACACCCTCAATCCTCTTTTCGTGGGCTGTTATTGTAGTGGACTGTGTTGCTGTGGTGAATTTAGGTTGGTGTTGAGTCACAGTGAACTTTGAATTCATTGTAGTATGAAGTGCTGTGTCAAAATTTGCATTCATCACCCTCCTCCCTCTCGGCAGTTTTGCATTATTTTTTAATATATTTAATAACATTGAAATAAATCATTCAAGTCTCACTTTGTTTTATTTTAACTTTTATACAGAAACAAGGAAGCATCCTTAACCAGTTTTCTTTACAATATGAAAGGAAGATGACTTTTATTTCCAGTAGGCTATGTCAAAACTAGCAGTTTATGGCCAAGTTCCCTTTTGTGTGTGTGTGTGTGTGTTTGTGCGTGTGCGTGTGTGTGTGTGCGTGTGTGGGTGTGTGTGTGTGTGTGTGTGTGTGTGTGTGTGTGTGTGTCTGTGTGTCTGTGTGTGTGTGTGTGATATTTGGATTTATTTGTGTTCTATATTCTGTACATTTCAACTTCATTTTGATGATTTGCTTTTTTACAATAGGGTTGCGATGTGTTTTTTCCCGCTAAATATGGAGAACATTGTCTTGCCCTTTATGCAATTTGTTATATAAATAAAGTTCGACTTTACTTTGGAGGTCACTTTATCAAAAAAAAAATCAATGACAGACAGTGACAGTCATTTATAACTTCAGCTAAATGTATGCTTCCCTATTGACCACAAAATAACCCAGCTATCAACACGCTGATGAAGGTTGAAGGTTCCCTGTTTTTGATGGAAATAACCATACATGTTGTAAATATGATAAAAAAAAAACACCAACAGGCTACAGTAGGATCAGACTGTCTTTATGTACAAGAGAAAATTGGAACACTGACAAAAGCACAATGTCTGAAAAAATATGCAAATGTCACTTGTGTAATATTTTTTTTTAAATAAAGAAATCATTAATTTCTCTGACCAAGTATTCATCGCGTACGTCCACCGGAGAGCAACATTCACTGCATGATTTCTTTTGTCAAACCAGTTAAACATTAATCACATGACTGGTAAAGACAAAGCCGAGGTTACTGAACAAACTTATGCACCACAAGAGAGTTGGTTCCTCTTTACAATCTGAAAACAATACATGTTGAACAAAACATGGAACAATGTGAACAACACAACAACTAGTATAGAAACTTGATTGAAGTATTTAGACCTAAAACCTGGGATTAATAAGTAGTCAGATGAACAAATTCCCCAGCATCCGTACAACAGGGCGCGTGCACTAACCACTGCCCCACCAGCGCCGCATTCCAATGAATTTTTATATTTAACTGGATTTTATGAACGATACAAGGTTGTATACATGGAACAATTTATAGCATATACAATAACATGTACCCTTCAATTCATACTTGAAGGCATAGATTACCAGGTCAACCATTTATTCAGTCTATCAAAAACACCTCAATATTACCATACACAATAAAATCTAATAACAAATATACCTTAATACTATATTATACTTTAATCGTTACATTTTTACATCGTCAATTCTACGGTCCAATAAATATTGGATTTTTTCACAATGGTGTGAAAAAGTAAAATTTCTAAATAAGCACTAGTCCTTTCATGCAGCAGGTGACATCTCTTGTGTAAAGTTCTCACAGGAAGTTTGAGCTTCACAAATAATTAACTTATGGTGGAGGGGAAACCTGTCACCACACTCAGACTCATTAACTCAGGTTGAGAGACATCATCATTATCTCATGATGTTTTTAAGAGGGTAGAGTAGAGTTTGTGTATTCGACTGCATTCAGCAAAATGTTCTGTAAGTACTTTGTCATTCTTGTAGTTAGTCTTCTAAGTAGATCCCTGTGTTCATTTTAAACAATCTCACAAGCAGAGAAGGAGATGGGCATACATCTGAAAAAGTTTGTGATGTACAGGGCTGAAGACAAACGACTCTCCACCTTTAACTGATGCTCTTTACATACACACATAAAACCAAGAAAGACACTAGAGACCCGTCAAAATTAGATATTTAAAGTGTTACCATATCCTGTCTTCTTATAAACAGCTAGTATTTCTTATGATAAGACTGCTGATGTCTCCAGCACACATTGGGTATTACACTAAGTATCATATTCTCCAGGTGATTAGAAGAGGGGTTTTTCGAGGGATATATTTTGAATATATTTCACAGCAAAAGCTAAGTGATAGCCTACATACTGTAGTTGTGTTTTACAGGCATGTGCACAAGAAGGACAGCACAGCAGGGCAGGACTTCCAGCTAAAAACAGTGAACATAAACACTGCCACTAGAGGCTGGCTCCAAAAGTCAGTCCATTCCCATTAGGCCTTTAAACGCTTACTGAATTGTGCCCCGAACACTATGGCTGTTTCAACCAACCCAGGGTCAGTGGTCGTGGTGGTGGTATAGCATGTGTGTATAGAAAGAGTTTTAAATGCCAGCAAATAATTTGTATTGAACTCTTTTCTTTTAAAGTTCTCACCTTTAACTGTGTGGTCCTCACCCAATTCTATTTGTTATTATCTATTGTCCTCCAAAACCAACAGGCAGGTTTTTAGCAGAACTCCCTGAATTTCTATCCACCTTAGTTTTAAACAATGACAGAATTGTTTGATGCAGTGATTTTAATATCCATGTTGATGACCTAAATAGTATTCAAGCATCAGCCTTTTTAACCATCACCACCTCTTTCAATGTTAAACAGTGGTTTATTTGCAATTAAATTCCAGCAAGACTGAGATCATTTTAATTGGACCACAGCAGAGCAAATACTGCCAACTGCTGGTACCCTAGTAGACCACATCAAACCTGCTGCAAAAAATCTGGGTGTCTGGTTTGACAGCAACTTAAATTTTGAGCAGCACACAACAAAGCTTGTACAGTCCTGTTTTTATCAGCTCAGAAATATTTCTAAAATTCGATCGATTTTAACTGTTAAAGACACAGAGATGATTTTACATGCTTTTATCTCATCACGTCTTGACTTTTGTAAAAGCCTTTTTACTTGCCTGAACAAAAAATCTATCGATCAACTGCAGTTGGTACAGAACTCAGCTTCCAGGCTTTTAACTAGAACAGAAAGCATGACCACATCACTCCTGTTTGAGCATCTCTACACTGGCTCCCTGTGTGTTTTAGAATTGATTTTAAGATTTTACTGATTACTTTTAAAGCTGTCCATGGCCTTTCCCCCAGCTATTTATCAGACCTTTTACTACCTTACAAACCCAAGCACACATTGAGATCCTCGGGCAGAGGTCTCCCGGTGGTTCCAAATGCAAAATTAAAAACAAAAGGGGATAGAACATTTTCTGTGAGGACTCCAAGACTCTGGAACGACCTGCCCGAGGAGGAGGTCGGCAGAATTAGTCATCTCTTTTAAGTCCCTTCTTAAGACACACTTTTTCCGGCGAGCCTTTCCTGATTTTTGTTGATTTTAAATCATTACTGTTTTCACTTTTTAGAATTCCTTTAAAATAATTGTATGTATTTTACAGTTATTTTAAAAGGGATTTCATATTTTAAATTGATTTTTATTCCTTAATCTTGCCTTGTTTATTATTCTATGACCTGCCTGTTTTTGTATTAGCTGTCCTTGTAAAGCACTTTGTAACTTGTTTTTGAAAAGTGCTCTAGAAATAAAGATTATTATTATTATTATCATTATTAATAAACAAAATGCTCAACTTTATTAAAATACTTTTAATACAGGTGGTTACTGCTAACTGTCACCTAAGCTAATTCATTTTGTCACAGAAATCAACCTCATGGCCGTACTAATGTTGAAGCCTTTTTAGAATTATTTTTAACTACTAAGTACTGCTCTGTTTCGTTTCTGTCTCTTTTTTTGGCAAATGAAAATCTGTTATTATGTTTAAAGTAATAAATGAAATCATGGTTTTTTAAACAATACAAATGATCCCATTAGTGAATATATATTTATTTCTTGGTTGTAAAAAGTTACTTAATGTGTTCAAAAAGAGAAATCTGAGCTATCAACCCTGATTTATTGCTCAATCTTTGACTATCTCAAAGTGCACTTCCTTATTACGCGATATTCATGATATGAATCCTCTAAAAATAGTCAGCGCAAGCATTGCATTCCTTCCTTTGAATATAAATACAGCACTTAATACAGTTAAATGAACACATGTCTTAACAAAGGTTAGGCTGTTACAGATGTCTAGTCACACAATGAGGTGTTTATAGTCATGTTATTTTGTTCCTCTTTTCTTCTTGCACTTCAACTCTTATTGACTTGACTTCCCTGTTTGCTCCAGGCTTTTTTAGAAAAATATGCTGACAAAAACATCATCACACCTAAGCTATTACTAACATTTACCATTATTGCATTCTAATTACTCTGATTGTCATATGCGGGAAAAGATTTAGATATTTTTTTGAAAGCCAGTTTCCGTATTCCCTTTTTGATGGACTTTAAAACACATTTATTGCACCTGTTTATACCCATTTTATAACCACTGGACACCTCTTCAGGTCTAATTTACTATTGCCTCTTTTGTGTTTCAACTTAAACTGCAGAGACTTCCTCTTTTTTTAACATGTTAGTATTTTGGATTATTGGGTTTGCATTCGCTTCCCCTTTGCGAGATACTAAACTTTAACTTCATCGTAATGGAATTAAATGACAAAGATGTGAAAGTCGTTCAATCATCCATCCATTCCTTCAGAAACGACAGATTGCATATTCATTTCAGTTAAAAAGCTCAGTATAGTTTACAAGCTCCACTGGTGGCAAGTAGTATCCTTATCCTGTAAATGAACTGAAAAACAATATTTCTTTATAAAAAAATGATTTAACATGTTTTAAATGTACATTTATAAAAGTATCAATGTGGAACAAGCTGCAAACTGAAATCAAACAGGATCAAATATGACACCACACCTGTGTCAAACATTTATCTCAAGCAAACAAACCGAATCACAAACAAAGAATATTTACAGCCTGAAATGTGCAACCAAACAAAGGCAGAGGGAAGTTATCAAAAGCAGTGTGTGCCAGTTTATATGGCAACATGACGCCATGTGATCTCAACACCCGTCATCAACTGTTTGATCATTAACTAAAGTGCTTTCATTGTAAACTCCAAAGTCCAAATAAGTTGTCCATAAAAGTCCTGAGAAAGGAGTGCAGCAGGTTTCTCTGACCACAGGCTCTAATGTGATGATATATTATATCTGATGTGATCAGCTCTTGCGAACCTGAGCGTAAAGCTCAGCTACATTAGCAGCAGGCTGAGGAGCCGGCCTCTTGGTTCTCTGAATGTGGTTTTCATAGGTAGGAGGGGAGGACGTTGAAGGAGGGTTGTTGTTCCCCCTGACCTGAGCGTATTCTGATGTCTCATTTTGCGACCCCAACTGAACGGCCCCGCCGTCTTTTTTGTGGAAAACTGCGATATCTACATAGTTCAGCTCCTGGAGGGGAAAAAAAGAGGTGGACCATGTTGAGGAAATTGTTTTATCTATTCATTTTTCGTTTGATATTGTTCTTCCTAAGATGCATAAACAGTTACAATACACTAAAGACAAATGTAAACAACAAAACATATCTGATTAATTTTGCAGAAAAATACACAACAACAACAACAACAACAAACAAGGAAGAAAGGTGTATTCAAGAGTTGTATGAGGCCTTAGACACACATACAATCTACACTTTATTGTGTCTCCTGAAGAAATGGTTCCTGGTTCAAAGTCTGATGTTGAGCACTGTGATATTTATAGATCTGAGAGGAGTCTGAGCCCTCTTTGACTCAACTTAAAGGAACCACACCACAGACTGAGAACTAACACACGATATACCCTGGTTTATTCATGATCTGTTCCTACATTGTGTTTTACTTTCATTTAAGCCTTTGGATTCACATATACTTGGATTCAAATATATGTGTAAGCACAGTTTTATGTCTGATTCAGCAGTATGGGATCACATTTTAATAGGACTACTCCTGTGTTCCAACATATTCTGATTTCTCTGAGTCAGCTGGTTTCTTAACATCATGTAAACACTCTGATTATTTCCTTTTACCTTATTTCCTGAGTAGGCTGTGTTGTCCTGACCTCCACCTCCTTTAAAGAATGAGAAAGAAACAATGCTGAGCTGAGATCAACAAGGAACGTGTAAAATACTGTTTGAATACAGAAAACAAAACAAAAACAAAAACACACATTGGACACTTACCCACTGTCTGGTTGGATGAAGTTTTCTTACTTTTTCTGTTGAGAGAAACAATGAGTCAATATTGTTTATCTTAAGAGACAGACGGCATCTACATTTTGCAACATAAATATAATTAGAATATAAGTGACACCATTTAATATAAACTTTATATTAAAACATTTAATGTAAGCTACTAAACTAAACGTATTTTGAATAAAATTAAAACTAAATTAAAAAAAAGTTTTTGTCATAAAGCTGAAATATAAATGGAAAAGAAAAATCAAGGTAGGGGGCGCCGATAGCCTAAGAGTTATGACGCGCGCTCCATGTACAGAGGCAATAGTCCTCAGTGCAGTGGCCAACTGGCCCTGGGTTCGAATCCGACCCTCTATTGCCAACATTTCCTGTCTCTCTTCAGCTCTCTATCTGATAAAGGCCCAAAGGATATCTTTTTTTTTTAAAAACAAGGCCAATTAATTTTTTTATTTTTCTAACTCAAACCATTGATTGTTATCAGAGCACTGTAAACTTCATTTTCTCACAATCACAAGGATTCTTTTGTCTTCTTTTTGACCTTCATCTGTTTGAAACATGATGGTTCTCAGGGAGAGTGTAGAGAGTTTTCAGTACACTGATAAGTTCATGGTGAGCCATCTAATGTGTGACAGTTTAAAATCAACACCAGACAACAAAATGTAACCATGAAGTTGTACATTGTCTTAGTGGAGCTCCCCTGAGAACACTATATCGAGAATATGTATTCCTTAGACCAACACAAGTAGCACATAGATGAGTGACTCTTTGTTGAAAATCAACCGTTGGTATGTTCAGTGAACACGTTTGTCCTGTCATTGTGTCAACCTGAATCTAGTTTAACATTTTCTGTCTGCTTTTTCCTCTGAACTCACTCGTGTCTTCTCAGATCCCGACTCTCCCTTCTGTTTTGCAGAAATCTTTGTCTTTACACCACCTCCATTTTTACATCTTCTGAGCTGCACACTTGTCATAAAATTTAACTCTCCTCCAGTCGCTTTCAATTTAGTGTTCAAGCAACGCTCTTTAACTACACAAACCCATCACTGCGTTTTTAAACTTCTGTCCTTTGTCCCTGCTTCATAAGCGGATAAGTCTTCCTAACTCTCTGGTAGGCTGGTTGGTATGAACTTCAACAGTTTTCTAACAACTAGTAATAATGAACTATTACATTCAAACACACTGGGATGAAAAAACAAGCTTTCCCGGTTACATTTCAAAGACCTTTTAACTTACTTCTTTTTGTAGATAAAGTATCCTGCAGCAGCAGCTGCTCCAGGGATCACCAAACATGCAATTACTATTCCAGCGATACAACCACCACTACAGCTTGATGGTACTGGAGAGGATACTAAGAAAAGAGGAGGAAAAGAACATATTCTGTAAACAGGAACTGTGCCATACTAACAGCAGATACAAAGCATTCATTGACTTCCCCGATTTCTACCGACAGATTATTGATGCACTATGGGTAATGAACCAGATTCAGTTTTAACAAGGTAAATGAATGCTTGGAATAAAAAACACAAAATCTCTCGACCTCTTATCATTAATTTGAATACTATTTTAAGAACTTTAAGACTCACAATTTTAATCTGTAGAAGTGCATTTCTAAATTTGACAATTTTCAGAGAATCCTTCAGTAATATATCGGGGCGCTGATAGCCTAGTGCATGAGCTCCATATACAGAGTCTATAGTCCTCCAAACAGGCAGCTCCTGTTTAAATCTGACCTGTGGCTGCTTTTCCTCATGTCTTCCTCACTCATTTCCTACTCTATCCATTGTCCTATAATAAAGGCCAAAAGCTCATGAACTGAAAATAGATCAGACATATTTAATTGGTCAAATTGATCTCAAAGACATGTCACACCAACAGAATCTACAATAAACACTGTCTTGTTACCTATTACAGTCACTCCATGCACTGAAGAAGATGATCTTCCAGTTATGATATTCTTTGCTTGACAGGTGTAGTTTCCACTGTCGGACGCTTCAGCGTTCTTTTTAGTGTACTCAGGAGAATTGAGTATCTCTGTCCCATTCAGTAACCAGGTGAAGTTTGGAGGTGGTTCAGACTCGGCCTCACAGGTTAATGTGAAGGTGTCTCCCAAAGATATGTGACGCTGGCCTTTGATTTGAGCGTGTTCTGGTCCATCTGAAAAACAGTTATAGTTTATTGACGTAAAAAATCTTAATCAATGTGTAACAGGCAAAAATAAGTTGTGTTTTAATGGCAGATTTGTATTATGACGCTCATTATTTTGAACAGTTAATGAGTACAGTAGTTTGTCACCTACAGTTCACAACCAAGACGTGTTTAGCTTCCATGGAGTTGATGGGGTTGCTGATATTACAGGAATATTCTCCTCTGTCTGTTTTATTTAGACGTTGAAAAGACAGAACTCTGTTGTTATCGTAAAGTATAATGTCAGTTTGAATTAGATCAGATCCATCCTTCATCCACTTTCTGGTAAACACGGAGCCAGCAGCGTCACAGGTTAAGTTGACAGAGTTCCCCTCTATTGGCTCCTTTGGTGACGATGTGATAGAAGGATTTGATATTCTCTCTGTTGGACAAAAGATCACAGAAACCTTTTAAAAGTATGAAGAACAAAAACACAGGTTCAGCTATAGATTAACAATCAATTTAAATATTAAACAGCAACATTGTGAAACTTACAATTTCAGTAACTGTAAGTCTCACAATTTCAATCTGTAGAAGTGCATTTCTAAATTTGACTATTTTCAGAGAATCCTTCAGTAATATATCGGGGCGCTGATAGCCTAGTGCATGAGCTCCATATACAGAGTCTATAGTCCTCCAAGCGGGCGGCTGGTGTTTAAATCTGACCTGTGGCTGCTTTTCCTCATGTCTTCCTCACTCATTTCCTACTCTATCCATTGTCCTATAATAAAGGCCAAAAGCCCACAAACAATCAATCTTTAAAGTCTCAAGAACTGAAAATAGATCAGACATATTTAATTAGTCAAATTGATCTCAAAGACATGTCACACCAACTGAATCTACAATAAACACTGTCTTGTTACCTATTACAGTCACTCCATGCACTGAAGAAGATGATCTTCCAGTTATGATATTCTTTGCTTGACAGGTGTAGTTTCCACTGTCGGACGCTTCAGCGTTCTTTTTAGTGTATTCAGGAGAATTGAATATCTCTGTCCCATTCAGTAACCAGGTGAAGTTTGCAGGTGGTTCAGACTCGGCCTCACAGGTTAATGTGAAGGTGTCTCCCAAAGATATGTGATGCTGGCCTTCGATTTGAGTGTTTTCTGGTCCATCTGAAAAACAGTTATAGTTAAAAAAATTAATTCAATGTGTAACAGGTAAAAATAAGTTGTATTTTAATGGCAGATTTGTATTATGACGCTCATTATTTTTGAACAGTGAATGAGTACAGTAGTTTGTCACCTACAGTTCACAACCAAGACGTGTTTAGCTTCCATGGAGTTGATGGGGTTGCTGATATTACAGGAATATTCTCCTCTGTCTGTTTTATTTAGACGTTGAAAAGACAGAACTCTGTTGTTATCGTAAAGTATAATGTCAGCTTGATTTAGATCAGATCCATCCTTCATCCACTTTCTGGTAAACACGGAGCCAGCAGCGTCACAGGTTAAGTTGACAGAGTTCCCCTCTATTGCCTCCTCTGGTGATTGTGTGATGAAAGGATCTGATATTCTCTCTGTTGGACAAAAGATCACAAAAACCTTTTAAAAGTATGAAGAAGAAAAACACAGGTTCAGCTATAGATTAACAATCAATTTAAACATTAAACAACAACAAGGACTTGGAGCTTTTCCATGAAATGTGTTTTCCATCTAATTGAATGTTATTGTTTAAAAGGTTTCACCTCAAGTCTTAATGAAATCTTTTAACCCGTGGTAACTTTTTCTGTATGGTTATAATGCTATAACCACTCACTATTCATTTCTGAATGATATTACTGATGTAATGAGTATTAGTATGAATGTAAATAATAAAAATGTGTGATGGATACACTGAGCACAAACCAGACAGATGAGCTCAGCTGTCAGACTCACTCTGCATGTTTAATGATTACACCTTATCATATCTGATGACTGGTTCTTGGTGCAATGATTAACCAGTGTTGGAGCCTCTTCCCTATTCACTATCAGCACTGGTAAACTGTTTGGTAATGTTAACCTAACTAACAGACACAATTGGAAAACTATTATCTAAACTCCAAACAAAACAAAGAAAGATTTGTGAAAGGATTTATACTTGGTGGGTTAAATAGATTATAATTAAGAGTTCCCATTTCAGCACATGAAGTGCATTCACATGTTGATCAGGATTAAATGCGACTTCATTTGTGCACAAGTTGTTTTCGCTGCGCTGCCAGTTATGTTATATAAAAGTTATATATTTATGACAGTTTGTTATTGTAATTCAAATCTTTTTTTGATAGGGGACCAAAAACATAATATTGAACATTCATGACTAAATGTGCAGCAGTTATACTTGTATACTTGATGCTTGATAATCCAACCAGAAAAAACAAACTGAAGCATAAGGAAACAAACAAACATAGAAAGCCGACATATTTCATCAGGATTTGATCAAGAGTCTCAAATCTTCATTTTACCACTGAAGGTGACGCTATTACATCATCAATTGGGCACCACACAGGTCTTTAAATGCAAATGTTTCCACTAGTTTTGTTCTAGTATTAAGTACAAACATGTAGAGAATCATTAATAACATATTCTGATTTTGTTTGAGATGGTATGTGTTGAACCTATTTTACAGATCTTCCATTAAACCTCTTAACAGCTTAACATGTTTATTTATTGCTCTACTGCTGTGCATAATCTCCATTCAGCACTCTAACAGATGTATCAAGTGAAACATTGTCTTACCATAAACTCTCAGTGTGGTTCTGCCTTCAAACTCACTCGTAGTTATAATCCTGACTATGTATTCTCCACTGTCATTGAGAGACAGACTCCTGAGCTCCAGAGATCCAGTAGAGGGGAAGAAGGTGATTCTTCCCTCATATTCAGGGTGAGTGTTGTTTTGAATATTTGAAACGATTATTTGTTTGTCCCCAAACTTCCAGGTAGTTGATACAAATGGACTCTCTGGTGGATTCACTGTGGTAAACATCACTGTCCCTCCAACAGCTCCATTCAGAGGACCATCTGGCAACAAACCAACTCCACTAGTTAAACCTGGAAGACACAGAAACACATCTGAGGAGATCTCTAATAATGTGAAACACAGGGAAAACTCACGCACAACTTCACTCTCACTTCAAATCCTTGTAGTTCTTGTCATTGCATTTGATGTATTTTTAATGAAAGAAGCCAACTGCATTTTTTTGTCAATGGTGAACATTTGAAGAAGATCACGAATTATCTTCGATGCTTTAGGAAATCATGTCTAAAAATGTACCCAGTCATTGAATAATCAGAGCGCACAGAAAATACAAACAAAAAACTCCATTTAAACTACCAAAGTTTGATTATTATTCAGACTTTAGAAGAGTAACATTTTTCTTTTCTTAAATAAATAAAGGTGTCCATATTTCCCCAACCACGTGTACAGGACTAACATTACATTTATTCTCTATTCAGAAAACTTAATGGTTAAAGATACTTAAAAGGCAGCACGTTTGGTACTTAGAATACAATTAGCTCCTCAATCATTGACCTAAATCATTTCCAGCAAATCTTCAACAACTTTAAATATAACGGAAATATGAACGGGGAAAGTAGAACAGGTGTACCTTACCTGTAAAAGACACAGAGACGATAAATAAAGCTAATGTATTCATTGATATTTCTTTGTGAGATTCACGCAGCTAACGGAAGGTCAACCATCAAACTTTGACTGTGCTTATTCATGTGAGCCTTCAACAGCTCCAGTCACACAAGTCAATCATCAAGTTCCTTTGTGTGGAGTTTTAAGACAGTCTGCATGAAGGGTCATCGACTAAAGCTGACACACCTGCGCCCTCTTGTGGTGGGTTATGCATGTTGTTTCTGGTGTAATTATACTATGACACAGGTTCAAAGGTTTATACAATAGCCTGTCCTGCTTTGATAACTCCAGACCTCCTGCCAAGTTCTACTGGTTTATCAATCATTCTTTACATAGCACCAATTCATAATGTTTTTGATCTCAATACGCTTTACAAAAAGAGCAGGTCTAGACCGTACTCTTATAGTACCGTATTGGTCCAAATATAAGACGGCCTTTTTCCCCATCGAAATAGGTCCGAAAAAGTCGGGTCGTCTTATATTCGGGGTCTAGTATTCAGAGCGCAGCTCTAATTGTTCACCTGTCCCTTTAAATGTCAACACACATGACGCGCTCTGGGAGGAGCAGGTGAGTGATGACAGTGAGAGCGAACACAGCGGGGCGGAGGACGTGTGTGAGGAATAGGAGACATCGGAGGAGATGTTTGGCGAGCTTTAGTTTAGCGGTAGTTTACTTAAAAACGTTGCCTGTATTTCCTCTGTTATTTAAAAATGTTGAAAACATGTTGATAATATTGTTTGATTGTTAATCGATTTTAATGTTGAATCATACTGTACATAGTTCGCCCTTGTGAAACACTTTGTTTTGAAAAGTGCCGTAGGCCTATACCGATAAATACGGTATGTTAATTATTATTATAATTATTAATACAACAGGTGTTTAATTCAATGTGTTTTTAATATTGTTATTTTCAAATAAAATGAAGTTCGAGCTGTGTTCTTTATAAAAACAAGATCTGGTCTGCAAATCTTTTTTTCTAAATGAGTGTTGAAAAACGGGGTTCGTCTTATAATCAGGGTCGTCTTATATTCGGACCAATACGGTATTTAAGACCCAACATTTATCTACCATGATCACAGCACAAAACAACATTTAGCAAAGTAACAGTGGCAAGGATAAGCCTCCTTTTATACAGACAGAAACCTCGAGCAGACTCATGTTGAACAGTCATCTGCTGACTCTGTGTTAGGCCAAACCAGTCTCATGTCAAAATGTAAACCGAACGTCCACTTCCTTCCGGTTCGTTGTTGATGGCGTCCATAGCAACCACCATAGCAACAGTAGAAAACGTAACATCCCAACGTTTTTCTATCGAGACCTGAAATAATCTTCGTAGAAACGAACAAATTAAAGATCATAAACATAAACCGAACGAAGATTATGAAGATACAATGTACATTTGTAGCCAGAAAGGTTATCAAAACGACACTTAAGCCTCAAACTATCTTAAAATATTGCATTTTCCACCGAAAATAGAAGGGATGTCCGCCATGTTTTTTTTCGCCAGGGGAAACCTGGGCAGTCACGTGACCTGAGGTATGCCTCTACAAAAGAACAGACAAAAGGAAACGTAGACACGTCACAATTTTAGAGCCCTTATTGTGAAACTACTACGTTTTGAGCTGTGGACCAACGTAGGTATTACACATTGTGATATGAGACTGGGTTGCCATTTTATAACCACTGGACACCTCTTCAGGTCTAATTTACTATTGCCTCTTTTGTGTTTCAACTTAAACTGCAGAGACTTCCTCTTTTTTTAACATGTTAGTATTTTGGATTATTGGGTTTGCATTCGCTTCCCCTTTGCGAGATACTAAACTTTAACTTTATCGAAATGGAATTAAATAACAAAGATGTGAAAGTCGTTCAATCGTCCATCCATTCCTTCAGAAACGACAGATTGCATATTCATTTCAGTTAAAAAGCTCAGTATAGTTTACAAGCTCCACTGGTGGCAAGTAGTATCCTTATCCTGTTAATGAACTGAAAAACAAATATTTCTTTATTAAAAAAATGATTTAACATGTTTTAAATGTACATTTATAAAAGTATCAATGTGGAACAAGCTGCAAACTGAAATCAAACAGGATCAAATATGACACCACACCTGTGTCAAACATTTATCTCAAGCAAACAAACCGAATCACAAACAAAGAATATTTACAGCCTGAAATGTGCAACCAAACAAAGGCAGAGGGAAGTTATCAAAAGCAGTGTGTGCCAGTTTATATGGCAACATGACGCCATGTGATCTCAACACCCGTCATCAACTGTTTGATCATTAACTAAAGTGCTTTCATTGTAAACTCCAAAGTCCAAATAAGTCGTCCATAAAAGTCCTGAGAAAGGAGTGCAGCAGGTTTCTCTGACCACAGGCTCTAATGTGATGATATATTATATCTGATGTGATCAGCTCTTGCGAACCTGAGCGTGAAGTTCAGCTACATTAGCAGCAGGCTGAGGAGCCGGCCTCTTGGTTCTCTGAATGTGGTTTTCATAGGTAGGAGGGGAGGACGTTGAAGGAGGGTTGTTGTTCCCCCTGACCTGAGCGTATTCTGATGTCTCATTTTGCGACCCCAACTGAACGGCCCCGCCGTCTTTTTTGTGGAAAACTGCGATATCTACATAGTTCAGCTCCTGGAGGGGAAAAAAAAGAGGTGGACCATGTTGAGGAAATTGTTTTATCTATTCATTTTTCGTTTGATATTGTTCTTCCTAAGATGCATAAACAGTTACAATACACTAAAGACAAATGTAAACAACAAAACATATCTGATTAATTTTGCAGAAAAATACACAACAACAACAACAACAACAACAAACAAGGAAGGTGTATTCAAGAGTTGTATGAGGCCTTAGACACACATACAATCTACACTTTATTGTGTCTCCTGAAGAAATGGTTCCTGGTTCAAAGTCTGATGTTGACCACTGTGATATTTATAGATCTGAAAGGAGTCTGAGCCCTCTTTGAGTCAACTTAAATGAACCACACCACAGACTGAGAACTAACACACAAGAGCAAACTGTGAAAGTATGGATCATGAATATACCCTGGTTTATTCATGATCTGTTCCTACATTGTATTTTACTTTCATTTAAGCCTTTGGATTCACATATACTTGGATTCAAATATATGTGTAAGCACAGTTTTATGTCTGATTCAGTAGTATGGGATTACATTTTAATAGGACTACTCCTGTTTTCCAACATATTCTGATTTCTCTGAGTCAGCTGGTTTCTTAACATCATGTAAACACTCTGATTATTTCCTTTTACCTTATTTCCTGAGTAGGCTGTGTTGTCCTGACCTCCACCTCTTTTAAAGAATGAGAAAGAAACAATGCTGAGCTGAGATCAACAAGGAACGTGTAAAATACTGTTAGAATACAGAAAACAAAACAAAAACAAAAAAAAAAAATTGGACACTTACCCACTGTCTGGTTGGATAAAGTTTTCTGACTTTTTCTGTTGAGAGAAACAATGAGTCAATATTGTTTATCTGAAGAGACAGACGGCATCTACATTTTGCAACATAAATATAATTAGAATATAAGTGACACCATTTCATATAAACTTTATATTAAAACATTTAATGTAAGCTACTAAACTAAACGTATTTTGAATAAAATTAAAACTAAATTTAAAAAAAGTTTTTGTCATAAAGCTGAAATATAAATGGAAAAAAATAATAAATCAAGGTAGGGGCGCCGATAGCCTAAGAGTTATGACGCGCGCCCCATGTACAGAGGCAATAGTCCTCAGTGCAGTGGCCGACTGGCCCTGGGTTCGAATCCGACCCTCTATTGCCAACATTTCCTGTCTCTCTTCAGCTCTCCTATCTGATAAAGGCCCAAAGGATATCTTTAAAAAAAAAAAAAAAACAAGGCCAATTAATTTTTTTTTTTTTCCAACTCATACCATTGATTGTTCTCAGAGCACTGTAAACTTCATTTTCTCACAATCACAAGGATTCTTTTGTCTTCTTTTTGACCTTCATCTGTTTGAAACATGATGGTTCTCAGCGCTGTAGAGAGTTTTCAGTACACTGATGAGTTCATGGTGAGCCATCTAATGTGTGACAGTTTAAAATTAACACCGGACAACAGAATGTAACCATGAAGTTGTACATTGTCTTAGTGGAGCTCCCCTGAGAACACTATATCGAGAATATGTATTCCTTAGACCAACACAAGTAGCACATAGATGAGTGACTCTTTGTTGAAAATCAACAAAGAGTTGTGCCTGCTTCATAAGCGGATAAGTCTTCCTAACTCTCTGGTAGGCTGGCTGGTATAAACTTCAATAGTTTTCTAACAACTAGTAAAAATGAACTATTACATTCAAACACACTGGGATGAAAAAACAAGCTTTCCCAGTTACATTTCAAAGACCTTTTAACTTACTTCTTTTTGTAGATAAAGTATCCTGCAGCAGCAGCTGCTCCAGAGATCACCAAACATGCAATTACTATTCCAGCGATACAACCACCACTACAGCTTGATGGTACTGGAAAGGTAAGAAAAGAGGAGGAAAAAAACATATTCTGTAAACAGGAACTGTGCCATACTAACAGCAGATACAAAGCATTCATTGACTTCCCCTGATTTCTACCGACAGATTATTGATGCACTATGGGTAATGAACCAGATTCAGTTTTAACAAGGTAAATGAATGCTTGGAATAAAAACCACAAAATCTCCCGACCTCTTATCATTAATTTGAATACTATTTTAAGAACTTTAAGTCTCACAATTTCAATCTGTCGAAGTGCATTTCTAAATTTGATTACTTTTAGAGAATCCTTCAGTAATATATCAGGGCGCTGATAGCCTAGTGCATGAGCTCCATATACAGAGTCTATAGTCCTCCAAGCGGGTGGCTTGTGTTTAAATCTGACCTGTGGCTGCTTTTCCTCATGTCTTCCTCACTCATTTCCTACTCTATCCATTGTCCTATAATAAAGGCCAAAAGCCCACAAACAATCAATCTTTAAAGTCTCATGAACTGAAAATAGATCAGACACATTTAATCGGTCAAATTGATCTCAAAGACATGTCACACCAACAGAATCTACAACAAACACCGTCTTGTTACCTGTTATAGTCACTCCATGCACTGAAGAAGATGATCTTCCAGTTATGTTATTCTTTGCTTGACAGATGTAGTTTCCACTGTCGGACGCTTCAGCGTTCTTTTTAGTGTACTCAGGAGAATTGAGTATCTCTGTCCCATTCAGTAACCAGGTGAAGTTTGCAGGTGGTTCAGACTCGGCCTCACAGGTTAATGTGAAGGTGTCTCCCAAAGATATGTGATGCTGGCCTTTGATTTGAGTGTTCTGGTCCGTCTGAAAAACAGTTATAGTTAAAAAAAATTAATTCAATGTGTAACAGGTAAAAATAAGTTGTGTTTTAATGTCAGATTTGTATTATGACGCTCATTATTTTGAACAGTTAATGAGTACAGTAGTTTGTCACCTACAGTTCACAACCAAGACGTGTTTAGCTTCCATGGAGTTGATGGGGTTGCTGATATTACAGGAATATTCTCCTCTGTCTGTTTTTTTTAGACGTTGAAAAGACAGAACTCTGTTGTTATCGTAAAGTATAATGTCAGCTTGAGTTAGATCAGATCCATCCTTCATCCACTTTCTGGTAAACACGGAGCCAGCAGCATCACAGGTTAAGTTGACAGAGTTCCCCTCTATTGCCTCCTTTGGTGATTGTGTGATGAAAGGATCTGATATTCTCTCTGTTGGACAAAAGATCACAAAACTTTTAAATATATGAAGAGAAAAACACAGGTTCAGCTATAGATTAACAATCAATTTAAATATTAAACAACAACAAGGACTTTGAGCTTTTCCATGAAATGTGTTTTCCATCTAATTGAATGTCATTGTTTAAAAGGTTTCACCTCAAGTTTTAATGAAATCTTTTAACCGTGGTAACTTTTTCTGTATGGTTATAATGCTATAACCACTCACTATTCATTTCTGAATGATATTACTGATGTAATGAGTATTAGTATGAATGTAAATAATAAAAATGTGTGATGGATACACTGAGCACAAACCAGACAGATGAGCTCAGCTGTCAGACTCACTCTGCATGTTTAATGATTACACCTTATCATATCTGATGACTGGTTCTTTGTGCAATGATTAACCAGTGTTGGAGCCTCTTCCCTATTCACTATCAGCACTGGTAAACTGTTTGGTAATGTTAGCCTAACAAACAGACACAATTGGAAAACTATTATCTAAACTCCAAACAAAACAAAGAAAGATTTGTGAAAGGATTTATACTTGGTGGGTTAAATAGATCATAATTAAGAGTTCCCGTTTCAGCACATGAAGTGCATTCACATGTTGATCGGGATTAAATGCGACTTCATTTGTGCACAAGTTATTTTCGCTGTGCTGCCAGTTTTGTTATATAAAAGTTATATATTTATGACAGTTTGTTATTGTAATTCAAATCTTTTTTTGATAGGGGACCAAAAACATAATATTGAACATTCATGACTAAATGTGCAGCAGTTATACTTGTATACTTGATGCTTGATAATCCAACCAGAAAAACAAACTAAAGCATAAGGAAACAAACAAACATAGAAAGCCGACATATTTCATCAGGTTTTGATCAAAATAGTCTCAAATCTTCATTTTACCACTGAAGGTGATGCTATTACATCATCATTGGGCACCACACAGGTCTTTAAATGCAAATGTTTCCACTAGTTTTGTTCTAGTATTAAGTACAAACATGTAGAGAATCATTAATAACATATTCTGATTTTGTTTGAGATGGTATGTGTTGAACCTATTTTACAGATCTTCCATTAAACCTCTTAACAGCTTAACATGTTTATTTATTGCTCTACTGCTGTGCATAATCTCCATTCAGCACTCTAACAGATGTATCAAGTGAAACATTGTCTTACCATAAACTCTCAGTGTGGTTCTGCCTTCAAACTCACTCGTAGTTATAATCCTGACTATGTATTCTCCACTGTCATTGAGAGACAGACTCCTGAGCTCCAGAGATCCAGTAGAGGGGAAGAAGGTGATTCTTCCCTCATATTCAGGAAAAGTGTTGTTTTGAATATTTGAAACGATTATTTGTTTGTCCCCAAACCTCCAGTTAGTTGATACAAATGGACTCTCTGGTGGATTCACTGTGGTAAACATCACTGTCCCTCCAACAGCTCCATTCAGAGGACCATCTGGCAACAAACCAACTCCACTAGTTAAACCTGGAAGACACAGAAACACATCTGAGGAGATCTCTAATAATGTGAAACACAGGGAAAACTCACGCACAACTTCACTCTCACTTCAAATCCTTGTAGTTCTTGTCATTGCATTTGATGTATTTTTAATGAAAGAAGCCAACTGCATTTTTTTGTCAATGGTGAACATTTGAAGAAGATCACGAATTATCTTCGATGCTTTTGGAAATCATGTCTAAAAATGTACCCAGTCATTGAATGATCAGAGCGCACAGAAAATACAAACAAAAAAAATCAATTTAAACTACCAAGGTTTGATTATTATTCAGACTTTAGAAGAGTAACATTTTTCTTTTTTCAAATAAATAAAGGTGTCCATATTTCCTCAACCACGTGTACAGGACTAACATTACATTTATTCTCTATTCAGAAAACTTAATGGTTAAAGATACTTAAAAGGCAGCACGTTTGGTACTTAGAATACAATTAGCTCCTCAATCATTGACCTAAATCATTTCCAGCAAATCTTCAACAACTTTAAATATAACGGAAATATGAACGGGGAAAGTAGAACAGGTGTACCTTACCTGTAAAAGACACAGAGACGATAAATAAAGCTAATGTATCCATTGATATTTCTTTGTGAGATTCACGCAGCTAACGGAAGGTCAACCATCAAACTTTGACTGTGCTTATTCATGTGAGCCTTCAACAGCTCCAGTCACACAAGTCAATCATCAAGTTCCTTTGTGTGGAGTTTTAAGACAGTCTGCATGAAGGGTCATCGACTAAAGCTGACACACCTGCGCCCTCTTGTGGTGGGTTATGCATGTTGTTTCTGGTGTAATTATACTATGACACAGGTTCAAAGGTTTATACAATAGCCTGTCCTGCTTTGATAACTCCAGACCTCCTGCCAAGTTCTACTGGTTTATCAATCATTCTTTATAGAGCACCAATTCATAATGTTTTTGATCTCAATACACTTTACAAAAAGAGCAGGTCTAGACCGTACTCTTATAGTATTTAAGACCCAACATTTATCCACCATGAGCACAGCACAAAACAACATTTAGCAAAGTAACAGTGGCAAGGATAAGCTTCCTTTTATACAGACAGAAACCTCGAGCAGACTCATGTTGAACAGTCATCTGCTGACTCTGTGTTAGGCTTACAGGAAGAGAGCTAGAACAAGACAAACAAACAGAAACAGCAACAATAATGAATAAAACTGATTCATAAATACAAAGTCAGTAAAAATGGTAAAAGTAAGTGTGGTATAAGCAGTAATAAAGTATGATAATTGACTGATCTGTCTAATATTAACAGAATAACTATAATGACAATATAATAAGCAGAAGATCTAAAGTTAATTATAGCGTATGAAGTCGAGCAGCTCTTTGAGCCCCATTTCCATTCATAATAATGACGATAGACGTCAGACTGATACAAATGGAGACCAGCAGCCCGATCTCAGACTGATTAATATTCTGCACCACACCTGTTGGGACTCAAACAACAACAAACTGACAAATGTTGTATCATATCTGTGTCTGGATTGGATAAAATAAAGGATTTTAACATTATCAAATGAATCATTTACATACGTGTAAAAAGGGTGTACCAATCATAGGAGGCAGCTGTGGCTCAGTGGCAGAGTCGGTTCAATCCTCAGCTCCTGCAGTCACATGTTGAAACTAAAGACACTGAATGCCAAATTGCTTCTGCTGCTGCATCAGAGGCGTTTGAATGTGTATTAACTGGATTAGTTGATACTGATGGACACTACTTAGCAGACTCTGCCATCAGTGTGTGAATGTGATGTGAGTGGGTGAATTTGACATGTGGTGCTTTGAGTAGTTTGAGTTGTCAGAAGACGAGAAAGTCAATTTACCAAGTCCATCATTCCATGTGGAGGGCAAACATTTCTGAATGCAATCTGGTAACATAACCTTAGTATTTAATTATAATGTCAAAGTGTATTTGTCGGGTATGTATTTTATGGAGTGAGCCCACGAAAGGGGGAAAAGCTTGTGGTGCCACAGAAAAAAAGACATAAGGATGTAGAAGCCATGTTCAGGAGTATGAAGTGTAAGACACAAATTGTTCCAGCTGGTGTCACCTTTGGATTAAGGTGATACTCTTTATAGGTAAGAAATTTCACTGGGGTGTCAGGTGTTGCTAGATCGAGAGCACATACACTTTTTTGACCGCTTTGCCACGCTATGAGGTAACACAGATGGAATCTTTGAATGGAAATTTATGGACAATTGTTGTGATCATGCAGAAATGACATTTATGAAGACCACGGTGGAATGAGAAATAAATATTCCATTAATGAAGAAGATATTGGACTGTTTTATTTCACAGTCTAACGCTCAGGAGAGAAGCTGAGTAGTACTGTTTGTTACCCTAACATGAACCCTAAACAAGCATGGCATGTGCTCTGTGCTGGGGCTAACATTGGCTACAGCAAGCAAGCAGCTTCCTGCACACATTCTTACAGCTCCAATATGTTAACCTCTGCATTTCATTATTGATATGACATGACATTGACTTTTTGATCACATTTTATGATCGTATTCTAAGAAAAAATACAAAAATAATATAAATAGTGAAATACTTGTGATATACTCACTAAAAATCACAATGCAAGAGGAAAGCATTGGCTACAAATACTGATAACAAAACACTGACAACATGAACATTAAATGACCATATTACTTTCAGCATAGGGTTCTTTTTCATATAATCAAATAAGCAGTACATTTCATTTAATTTCCAACCTTCATTTATTCTCGAAAGGAGATTGAAGTTTCCCTCATTTCAAATGCCGTCGAAATTACAACATGTTAACCTTCCGGTTGAGAGGCAACGACTCTACCAACTGAGTCACAGCCGCTGACATGACTCTCAGTATGTGAGTAGAGCATGTGTTTTCAAACATTTTGTAAGCTTTATACTTTTAGAGTGCAGCTTTATGTTGGTGCTTGTAGGACCCTGGGGGAGGGTTATACAGTAAGGGTGACTTAAGAAAGTGTATTTCTCCCTTTTAGTTCCAGGGGCTTCTCTTCAATGAACTTAAAGGTTCTTGTGGCCTATAGTAGTCAGCATGTCAAACGCTGCCTGAAGTCCTGGATAAACAATGCAAAGCAGGCTGTATTGCTTTGTAAATGGATTCATTGATTAATGATTGAAAGGAGAGTGTGTGTTTTGTTAAAGAATTAAAACTCACTCCCATCCCAACTCCCCATTTCACCCAAAGCCAAAGAAACACTTTATAAGATGATAAATGATATTAACCCCTACTTAAAAAATAGTTGATATGGGAAATTTTTGTAATTATGAAATTACAAGCGTGAATGTATTTTTGTTTTAGTAAAAGTCAAACCACTTTTTTATCTTCATGAATGACTTTATAAACTAAGAAAAAATATATTAAAACTCAATAATCTTCAGAGATAATCAAAACTGCGTAGGTTTTGATTCCAGACTATACCTCTGACTGTTCTTCTTTTGTTGTTTTCTTTTTATTTATACGTTTGTTTCATTCCTCTGTTCTTTAAGTCTTGCTTAGTGTTTTTGTACTTTTTCATAATAGTAACAGAACAGATAGAGGTGGGGAAAAAGCAGTCTTGCAGGCTTATAGATTCAGTATTTTAAACATTACAGGTGGTCTAAAACCCTGCTGAGCCTGACCAAACAGATTTGTTCAACACTGCAGGAGCTGCATACCCTGCTCCCCAAAGTTCCTGGTTGAAAAAGGGGCTGTAGTTGAGACACATACCTGTTTTTTTGGTGAACCATCTGGTGTGGAGATAGCTAATGCTGTAGATGGTAAAAGTACAACATAACCTAGAGTTAACCAGAGAGATGTTCATTAATATAGTGTTTATGATAACATAAACAACATAATCATAGTGATTCACAGGTCTTTCTATGCTCATTGATGTGAATTCTCCCCATGGAAGTCTAAATGGCGACCTCTGGTGGACAGAGTTGTCACATCCACTCAATGTCTTGCAGGATTGATTATTGCAGGTGTGCCTACAGCCCCAACTCAAAGCTGTAGATCTCTGCGATCTCCATCCACTACCTCTGCCATGCGTTCCTGAGCAAGACTTGTTGTTGATGTTTATTTATCTTCTGTTTCTTGAATCTGTTTGAGTTCAATATTAATTTAATCAAGATGGTAATTGTTTGTTCATAGTTTCGTGATTAGTTTATATTGTTAATTTGGAAAATGTGTCGTTGATACCACAGAAACCACGGCTTTGGATGGGAAATAAATCCTTGAAACTGCAACCCCTGTCATCTCTTTGATTTTTGAGTCTTAGGCACAATCTTAAGAACTTGAGAAATTTTAATACCCACTATCATCACTCCTCCACTCCCCTCCTCTTCCACCCTCCACTCGGCTGACACCAGACATGTTTGCCTCATATTTTGGCACTAACAATTACCTCACTCACCTCATTCAACCATCTGACCGAGGACAAAGTGTCTCAGTCTGTATTAGACTCTCAGCCCACCACCTGTCCTCCAGACCCAATGCCACCAAACCCCCTTAGGACCATTTCCTCTACCTTCTCTTTGTCAAAGGGTGTTTTCCCCACTGCATTGCTGTTTCAAAGTCGCTTTTCATCAAATTAGGTAAATGATTAATTCACTCCTACACTGATGCAGATATATTAACACAAAACACATTAGACATTACTTCCTTATACGACCAGCATAATCAAAATCCACATTCTGATACTCACTCATCCTTTAGGGCTTGGTCAGAAGTGTGAAACATCACTCTTTTCTCTGTTACACTTGACGGGACGTTGGATAAAATGGAAAAAGCTGTGATCAACATCCTCCTGGGAGTCTTTTCAGGTAAGCTATCACCATGATGCAGCACATACATGAAGATTTTCCATCAGCTTACTCAAGGACACAAAGAAAGATTTTGTCACATAAACTGGTATTTATCATTTGTTTTAGGAAATGGAAATGATCAATATCGTCTTTCAACAACATCATGTAGATCCCATAACTGGAAAAATATCTGTTTGCTTCAAAGTAGTTAGCAAACAGTTCAAACTCAGTACAGCCTGGCTAAAAAACAAAACTTAAGAACATTGAACTAATCTGATTTAATTGTACTTTTATTGGCTACACTAATATTCGGAATATCAAATGCACAACCAGAGAGCAATTTACTTTCAAGGAAATAATTGTCTTCTGTCAATGTAGATATTATGAATAGAAACTTTAACCTAATGTATAAAACATGTACTGTATATCGCAGGCTATCTGAAAGTGTTTGACCAACTGTTCTTTTTGTATTTTCCTTAATGGACATGTCAATGTTTGGGTTTTGAAAGAGAAAGCATCAAATAATAAAAGCACTGCATTACATTTCAACAAAAGACCTGAAACCAGCCTTGTGTTAATCATTGATTCAAGTTTGACTTTAACCTCTACAAAAAGCAGAAATGATTTCCTTCATTAAGAACAGAGGGCCTTTTAGTTTGAATCTCTATCAGATGCTGTGGAATAATTGTTATTATTACAATCCCCTTAAAGTCATTTTCTAAAAGTGTTTCTGTGTCTTCCAGGTTTAACTAGTGGAGTTGGTTTGTTGCCAGATGGTCCTCTGAATGGAGCTGTTGGAGGGACAGTGATGTTTACCACAGTGAATCCACCAGAGAGTCCATTTGTATCAACTATCTGGAAGTTTGGGGACAAAACTATAATCATTTCAAATACTCAAAACTACACTTACCCTGGATATGAGGGAAGAATCACCTTCTTCCCCTCTACTGGATCTCTGGAGCTCAGGAGTCTGTCTCTCAATGACAGTGGAGAATACAGAGTCAGGATTACAACTGTGAATGAGTTTGAAGGCAGAACCACACTGAGAGTTTATGGTAAGACAATGTTTCACTTGTTATTTATCTTTGAGTGCTGAATGGAGATTATG